GCCACACTACCCTGATATCTGCATCCAGCCCATGACAACCACTGAGCTGCTGCAAGAAGCACCTTGGGTCCCCAAACCAGGGCAGTAGGGGGCAGAGGATTTCAGCCATGAACCCCAGCATCTGCAACCAGCCTAGCAATGACTGAGCCACCACTGAGATCCCCTTGCTCTCCCCTGTTGGAATGAGGGGGGTGCTATGGCCCTCCATCATGCTCCCCCTCCTTCCTCCATTTCCCACCTTATTCCCCTTCTCCTTTGCCTCTCCCCCTCCCCCTAAACTGCTCCTCAACAACATTTAAGAATTAGAAAAGGAACCAATGGGAGCTGAACCCACCCACAACTAGTGAGCTACTACCACCACCCTTGGACCCACTGGGGCTCTGAGGTATGGAGCTGGGGAAGCCAACCCAGGCACAAGTAAGTGAGCTGCAGCCACTGCCCTGGTGCCTCACTGGAGACCCAAAGCATAGATATTGATATTCAATTCTGCAGGCCACAGAGTACACAGTACAATCAACTGTGTTTCAATTAAAAAAAAAAGTTGAAGAATTAAGACTCCTTAATTTGAAACTTGATGTAAAGCTGCAGTAATTAAGACTTTCAGACAGTGTACTACTGGCATAAGGATAGACATGGATGAATGGAGTAGAACTGACAGCCCACAAACCCTCCCATTTCTAGTGAATTGATTTTTAGAAGGATGTTAAGACAATTCCATGTGAAAAATAATCTTTTCAATAAATGATGCAGTGATCTCAACAAACTCAAAAGAATGGTAATTATTCCACATATTTTTCAGATCACAATGGATTAAAATTAGAAATCAATAACAAAAGAAACTCTGGAAACTATAAAAACACATGGAAATTAAACAACATTCTACTTAATGACATATGGGTCCAAGAAGAAATTAGACAAGACATCAAAAAATATCTTAAAACTTATGAAAATAATGGACTACTATAAATAACTATATGACAACAAATTTGAAACTCTGAAGGAAATGGATCAACTTCTGGACACATACAAACTACCAAAACTGAACCAAGAAGATTTCAAAAATCTGAACAGACCAATAACAATAAAAGAGATTGAAGCTGTTATCAGAAGTCTCCCAACAAAGAAAAGCCCAGGACCGGATGGGTTCACCATCGGGTTCTAGTGAAACTTCAAAGAGGAATTGGTACCGATTCTCTACAAACTATTCCCAAAGACTGAAACAGAGGCTATTCTCCCAAACTCATTCTATTAGGCAAACATCACCCTGATACCAAACCAAGACAAAGATACATCAAAAATAGAAAACTACAGGCCAATATCCCTGATGAATATAGATGCAGAAATCCTCAGTGAAATACTAGCTAACAGAACACAATAAGACATACACAAAATTATACACCATGATCAAATGGGATTCGTCCCAGGGAGGCAAGGTTGGTTCAACATATGCAAATCAATAAATTGATACACCTCATCAATAAAAGCAAAGACAAAAACCATATGAGCATCTCTATAGATGCCGAAAAAGCATTTGACAAAATCCAACATTTGTTCATGATAAAGAATCTCTACAGGTTAGGTATAGAGGGAAAGTATCTCAACATAATTAAAGCTGTATATGATAAGCCCACTGTCTATATCATCCTGAATGGGGAAAAGATGAGAGCTTTTCCCTTGATAATGGGAACTATACAAGGATGCCCATTCTCATCACTCCCATTCAAGATGGTGTTGGAAGTACTAGCCAGAGCAATCAGAGAAGAGAAGTAAATAAAGGGTATCTAGATTGGAAAAGATGAAGCCAAACTGTCCCTGTTTGTGGATGATATCATCCTACATACTGAACAGCCTAAAGCCTCTACAGAATAACTCCTAGAGTTGATAAGTGATTTGAGAAAAATTGCAGGATACAAAATCAACACACAAAAATCAATAGCATTTCTATACTCCCAAAGTGAAAATGTAGAAAAAGAAAGCTAGTGCATATGCAATAGTCACCAAAAAAAAAAAAAAAAAAAAAAAAAAAAAAAATTCTTAGGAATAAAGTTAACCAAGGACATGGAAAATCTCTACAAAGAGAACTACAAACCACTGCTGAGAGAAATTAAAGAGGACACAAGAAGATTGAAAGTTATCTCAATGCTCTTGGATTGGAAGAATTAACATTGTGAAAATGTCCTTATTACTCAAAGTAATCTACAGTTTCAATGCAATCCTCATCAAAATTCCAATGACATTTTTCTCAGAAATGGAAAAAAAACCTATCCAGACATTTATATGGAATAACAAAAGAACACGCATAGCTAAAGTACTCCTGAGCAAATAAATAAATAAATAAATAAATAAATAAATAAATAAAGCTGCAGGCATAACACTACCTGGCTTTAAACTATATTACAAATCTATAGTAACCAAAAGAACATGGTACTGGCATAAAAACAGACATGCAGATCAATGGAATAGAACAGAGAACCCAGAAATCAACCCACACACCTACAGCCATGTGATCTTTGACAAAGGCACCAAGTCTGCACGTTGGGGAAGAGACTGCCTCTTCAGCAAATGGTTCTGAAACTAGACCCATACCTCTCACCATATACCAAAATCAACTCAAAATGGATTAAAGAATTAAATATATATCCCCAAACAATAAAACTCCTTAAAGAAAACAGAGGGGGAAACACTCCAGGAAGTAGAAGTGGGTACAGACTTCATGAATAGGACTCCAAAAGCATAGGCAACTAAAGGAAAAATAAACAAATGGGATTATATCAAACTAAAAAGCTTCTGCACAGCAAAAGAAACAATCAACAAAATGAAAAGACAGCCAACAGTGGGAAGAAAAATTTGCATAATATAAATCTGACAAACGATTAATATACAGAATATATAAGGAATTCAAACAACTTTATATCAGGAAAACAAATAACCTAATTTAAAAATGGGCAAAGGAGCTGAATAGGCATCTCTCAAAGGAAGATATACAAATGGCCAATGGACACATGAAAAAATGCTGAACATCACTCAGAATTTGGGAAATGCAAATAAAAACCACTTGTAGATAACATCTCACTCCAGTCAGGATGGCTAATATCCAAAAGACTGATAATGATAAATGCTGGTGAGGTTGTGGAGAAAAAGGAACTCTAATACACTGTATTTGGGACCGCAAAGCAATTCAGCCTTTGGAAAATGATATGGAGGTTCCTCAAACAACTGCAAGTAGATCTACCCTTTGATCTAGCTATTCCAGTGCTGGGAATACCCCCAGAGTAATAGAAATCATCATGCCAGAGGGAGACCTGTTATCCCATGATTATTACAGCACCATTTACAACAGCCAATTGTTGGGACCAGCACAAATGTCCATCATCAAATAAGTGGATACTGAAGATGTGGTATATCTACACAATGGAATACTACTCTGCTATAAAAAAGAATGAAATACTACTATTCGCAATGACATGGATGGACTTAGAGAAAATTATATTAAGTGAAACAAGTCAGGCACAGAAATAGAAATACCACATGTTCTAACTTACTTATTTATCTCTTGAGAGATAAAAATAAACACATATACAAACAAATAAATGGGGTGGGGGAAGAAAGCACAACAATCACAACAATTCCTTGAACTTGTTAAGACAAGTGAACAGACATGATGTAGTCGGGGAAGGTGGGAAGAAAGGGACAGGGGAAAAAGGAACGGGTAAAGGGACATGAAAATCAACTTCAATGTGTATTGAGAAGTTAAAATAAAATAAAGTAAATAAATAAATGATGCAGTGATAACAGGATACATACTTACAGATCACCTGATATACCCATCCTCCGACCACATATCTGTGTAAAATCATTTTAGGTTACACTCAATTAAAGCTTCTCTCTTCTATCTATCTACTTTTTCCTCACACACCTCTACACCTCAACTGATACCACTCACCCCCTCTGAAAATCCCTCTTGTACCCCTCCTGCAAATGTTTTAAAGTCAATTTCAATCTGACAGAAATGCAGAAAGCCCACCTTTCTAGGTTACGGCATTCATTTCCATTTTCCCTCACTACACATGCATTGATCATGTCCATCTTCATATTATGGTAATATGTTTTGCATTTTCCAACTTGTTTGTAATTGTTTCC